GATCCACTGATCCTTCAACACAGAGCATCTTTAGAAGACAAGCTGATAAAATAAATTTTAAAAATCGGTATATTTCGATACAGTGTGTACTGAACCTAAAGCACTGTATTGAACGGTTCCATACGGGTACACACAGGTACACGGGAGTGTGTGTATCTCATTATTTTAGCTCAAGTAGAAATATGTAAATGGCCTAATAAATAAATGCACTTGAAATGCACCAAATAATAAAAAAGGAGAACTTTACCTCATGTTTTATAATTTAATTGATATGCGTGTGTTTTTTTTCCAGACTAGTTCAATATATCTATTTATTAGGCCATTTAAATGTTTCTGCTTTTAATTTTAATTAYGTCAGCTTTGGTCCTCCATACATGGTCACCAGAGCTAATGATTTTTAAACTAAAAAACTCCTGCTTGGATATACTGTATATAAAATCTCAGTTCATCAGAGGAAAATCACACAAGCTCAAAGCCTTTCTCATTCATGTTTTTGATTTCTCACACGTTAAATACTTACCCAGCTGTCTTGTGACTTGTACTTTAGCAATGTGCGTGTCCCAGAGGTAATGAAGTGGTCTGTACTTTAAATAAGATCAGCACACTTAAAAGAGAATACAGAGAATTATTGACACTCCAAATGTACACATAGTTCCTAGAATTATYGACTTGTCTGTGTGAGCTGGGGTTAATTGGATTAAACCAATATGTTTGTCACGAGAAAACAAGTCAATGTGAACTCACAAGGCTAATATGATGCTCGTTAAATGTACAGCTTGGGGTCTAAATATGAACTGTCATCGAAATAAATAGATTGGAATCTTTAATTTGCATTCTGAAACTTCCATAGATCCCATGCTGGTTGGAAATTAGAGTCGTATTTGCTCATTAGATTRAGTTGATTATCTATCTCTGTGGGAGTTCTGCTTCGGTTTGTGACATTTGCAACATACCCCACAGATAAAACACATGCAGGTTGTGTTGTGCAACTACTTAACATTCTTCGCACAGGAAGTCATTGGCAGATACACTAATTAGGCTTATAACTAAGAATGATCTGCAGCTAATGCTCCTTAGTCACAGTCAAGCTGAAATGCATCTCAGTGACAGAAAAATCAAATCTTAAGCTTCTGAAATCACCACAGTAAACAGACATTTATAGCCCTCACACTGTGAGCCTGACATCTTAAATAGACTTTTAGCACAAATGCTACACCACATTATCTGAAACCACYGTGGCCTCTGAGGGACGCTGATGAGTTTGATGCGGCATTAAAAGAGGAAGTTTAGGACATGGCAGCTGAATTAGGGTTGTTTAAGTCTGCTCACAAATGCAGAACTTCTATGTGTCAATTCAGAGCTTGAT